CAGTTGTGTCATGCTGGCAAAGATCTAGAACTGATCCCCTACGACCAGTACCAACGATCCCACCAACATCCTCCCTCGGCCCCGGGATTCGCACCCGGAGCTGTACGCCGCGCGTCAGGGTCGAGGCCGTTACGGGCGCTCGCCAGACGGCGCGAACATGGATGACGATGTAAAATGGCTCGGCGTACCGCACCCGCCGTCGTGGAGTGCGTCACCTCAACACTCAAGGCCCACAGAGGTGTGTTACAGGTAAGGACGCGAAAAGCAAAGTGACAGGCTTTCCAAAACAGGTCATCCAAGCTGCAAGGTAAACCTACTCATCTGGAGTGGGGAAAGCGTTGGCTTGCTGGAGGGATCGCCTTCGGTCAGCCCGCTGAGGGACGTTAGCATCCCAGTCCATCAATGTCGTATTATTCGCCACAGTCCAAATCATGAGTCCAGGCTGCTTCGTCGAAAAAATCTTCGTCGAAAAAATACACAGCGGGCGCCTCGACGGCAGCCCAGGCATCGGCAACAGGTCCGGAACTGACTTGCCCAGGGCCGACAGAGCCAGGACCGACAGGCCTGAGACCAACAGGCCTAGGACTGACAGACCTCGGTGGACGGAAAACAGGCATGCCGTCACCATCGTTCTGTTTTTTCCGGTGTTCTGTTCCCTTGGGGGGGTCAGGCGCTCGCCACCAGGATGTCCAGGCCTGCGTGGCTGGCTGCCGAATGCGCAGAGCCAACTGAATATCTTTCTGTCCAGGGTAAAACGCCACAGTGAGACTCGTCCCAATACTGTTGGCCCGTTGCGTAGGGACTCACCGGCATCAGCGTGACGCGCTTGGCGTGGATGGCGCACAGGTTGGCCTCCTCCAGCACCCCGATGACATATTGCTCGGTACTCTCCTGTAGCGCCCCGAGAGCGGTGCTTTGAAATCTCATTTGGCTTCCGTGTTTGTCTGCACAGATCTCTTTGATCTGTCCCAACTTTTTCATCAGCACAGTACTGGCTACAGCACTCATATCAGACTAGGTACTTCGCACAAGCCTTTGGAACGAAAGCCTAGGAATGACAAGCCCCGTTTGCCTCTGGGCTTTTCTGATTTCCCTGAGCGCTGCGACCCCTGGCTTGACTCTCTTGGCACGCTTGATCTGGCCTGTCGTGGTAGGCAGCACCACTCTGGCTCGCTGCCCGGAAGCGTTGCCGCCTGCGATTGCGCGAGCTCTTTGTTTTACCCTCGCCATGGTCGGCATGCAGCGGATGGGACAGGACATACATATACTTCCCCTCTTTGTCTTGCGTGTTGGGGGTTTCGCTACCACGGCCAACTGCTTTGTCGTACCCGCTTATGTCGTGCTCACGTCGTCGCCGATGGTGTAGGCTTGGCCACCGGGGCTTCCTCAGCTTTTTCGGTCGCCGTTTCATCTTGACCAAGGTGGCACGGCAGCGGGTCATAGTGATCAGCTTTGCGTATTGCATATGCTCTGTGTATTGTGCATGTTCTGCAATCATGGGCAACGTGGACACGGGTCGGCCCATCTCAGCCGCCTTCGAATGTCCGTCTCGTGAGCTAAGTACAAAGTGTTAGCGCTATAAGTAGACTCGTCATCCCAAATTGAAGGCTAGCTTGTCGAAGCCTTTTGCTCTCCAGGAGCGCCCGTTATATCTTGCACGTTTGCTCTCGGGCTCCAAATAGCTGCATATGGTAATCATTGACTCCACGAGAATGGCTTTGGAATTTGGTATGGCAACAACAGACGTCTATTCTGGTGCTTCCTTTTGCTGACTCGAGGAACTGACTCCACAGGGTCCTCCCTTACGCCGTCGGTGGTAGAGTTGCCCTGCTGCCTCCGCATTCTCAGCCCGCAGCGTCTGCGTTCGCTCTTTCACCGAAGCGGCGTGACACCACGATGTCCAGGGTGCTCGAATAGGATCACAAGAGAACAAGAGATCCGTGTCCGGGACCGCAAAGGCTGGAGGTCCGTAACCATACGACGGGTCATGATCCGGCGGGTGTATACCTCTCGTGACCTGAAGAGGTGGCGCACTCCAAGCTGCCATGTGCTGGCAGGGCTGCGACAATTGAGACTATCCAATTAGCTAAAGAAAAGAATACAAGTGTCTCTGTCTTACTGAGAACGCGTAGCCACCTCATCACGACGAAGCGTGCGTAGTTGTCGAAGTCGTGCCGACAGATGCAGGGCTATGCCATGTCGCTCACACTCGTTCGCCGTGAGACAGGAGCCACGGGTCTCTGCAAGAGCCAAGTCGTACCATCGTGCGGCTCTTGTTGTTTTCCCATTCTCCGTTGGGGTGTTTTGGTTTTTTTTTCGCGCTATTTGCTGTCATAGCTCTACACCGGATCCCTACTGGATCTTGCCCTCATAGGCATGGCACAAGTTCGCACACTGTGGCAGCAGCAGAAAAAAACAATATGACGAAGGCTGGGGAGCATCGTAAACAACATGTAGAGCAGGGAGCCTCCAGCAGCTTGCCCAGTGCGGGGCTCCAGGCCCTCGTATGCGCCGTGTTTTCCTGTAGGCACACAGTACTCGAGACGTAGGTAGCTGAGCTCTTTCATCGGTCCCAGAGATGCTAGAAACGGCTGGACGAAATACAAGCTATTAGTTTGTGCTCGACTTTCTCCGCAAGAGAAAAACAGAAAGGACTCATTACAATCATATCTCTTGGTTTTCGCCCTCTATGTGTCAAAAGCGTCAAGGTGTTGACTTGTGGAAAGCTCGCAGCTACATGTGCTCCGCCACGAGCGGTGCAGAAGCGGCGTTCGATGCACAGCGTCAGGTACCGCGTCAACGGTTGCCGCGGTGGCTCGGCACGTTGGGCACTTCCTTTCTACTTTTCACCTGCCCCAACAACTGCTGCAAACGACGTGGCCTGCATCGTCAGCGGCCTGGAACCGGTTACGCATTCGGGGCTGCCTACCGCATGGCGTATACAGAAGATTGTCCGCGTCGTCGCAGACAGGGCAGTGTCTCCAGTCATACTACTTCACAAACGTGTTCTGTCGCAGTCAGAGTCAGGCCGTTTGCCTGTCGGCCAAGGAGTGCTGCCTCACCGGTCTGTCCAGGAAATTCTGGATGTCCGCGCAGTCGATGTCGTCGGCCTGGCCAGGTCATGGCTTGGCCCGTCTCTTTCATGGTTCCTACCCAGGACATACCCTCGCCCTGGTGTTGCGGCGACCGCCTCCCCTACTTTGAGCAGCTGATGCGCCAGTACACTATGCAGAACCTTGGCAGCCATCCGTCTTCTCAGATCCACTACCCGATCCGGCTGCAATATCGTGGCCTGTTTTTGCTGTGAGGGGCTCCAGGGTGTGACACCTCGAGTAACGAATGAAGTTCTCCCATGATGCAATTAATTCGCGTAGCTACTTATACAGTGGCCGAAATCGAAACTGTTTCGCTCTTTATTGGGTATCTTCGTTGAGTTACTAAGCACTATAATGATCTCCGTATTAATAACTACTGAGCTATCAACTTCTGTTGCAGTCCGATAGTAGAAATGCCATTTGGTGGAAGGCCGCCGCTGTTGGAGGTGGCATCGGTGAGCGCTGTCACAACGAGGCTTTTCTGGCGCTCGCTCCGGTAATGGGGACTATGAAAGCAGAGCAGACATTAGCAAAGCTGGGGACGCAAGTCATCCAGCTCGGCAGTAAGATTGACACAGCCAAAAAACGCCTTTGCCAGCAGGTCCTGCAAGTTTCAGCCGCTCAATCGACGTTACGCGGACTGTGTATGAACCACGATATGTTGTGGAAGACAATGGCTTGTCAACGAATTGCATCCTCCAGCAGCCATCAACCTCAATTTCGATGCACTCGTCTCTTGGAATTATGGACAGGATTTCAGCGCCGCTTAACAGAAATGGAGAAGACTTTGTTGAAGTAGTATATTTTGCACCCGTTGGTGTCGGCGACTGCACTTCTTGGGTCGCGTTGGATCTTGCGTCGGCTTGAGTTGGAGCCTCAATAATGGGTGGGTGGTCACGGAAAGCCAAATCAACCCGAAACTCTCGTTTCTCCGCCCGCTCTTCTCTCAAGGGATCTGCTCCAGGAACGCGTACCTCTTGGCTTAAATCTTTGAAAACCTTGCGCCTCTTGGCAGGTGCGTCGCGTTTTCCACCTGTGCACGCTGATGCCTTGCGCTTTCTGGAAATCTTGCTTCTGCGAGACGTATTGGCTCCATTGTATGGAGCGGGGTCCGCGTGCATGTCTGCATTGGTGCCTTCCTTGGTGCCTTCATTGGTGTCGGCGTTGGTGTCGGCGTTGGTCTCTGCATTTCTGGTTTGCGTGCTTCCAGGGTCCTCGTCGTCGGGTCCCTCTGAGTCAGGTATTTCAATTGTTCCACCTGGCGTCAAGATTGGATGACCAGCATTGTGTGCCTGTAGCTGCTCGTTGCCAACGAAAGAAGGTTTGCCATTTAGGTCGTAAGCAGTGCGCGCATAGGTCGCAGAATCGTCCATGGTTTCATCTCCTCCAGATTGAAATCGGCAGGAACTTGCTACAGTTTAGTTAGTACTGTCTCAAAGCGCCTTTGCTGATATTGAACCGACTAGCGTTAGGAATCAATTCCTTTGACCTCAAGCAGTCGCTGTTGTCCGAGTTCATCTGGGTTGAACCATCATCATCGGATGAATCATCATCGTCGGGGATGATGATTTCCATGGGTCCAGAGAGATTTTCGCGCTCTGGGTTCGCGGACTCATTGCTTTTGGGCTCGTCGTGTTCGGAGTTTGTGTACTTTTCGCGTGTGAGTCTCTGGGACCTGAAAGGTCTCGCGCGCGTGTTGGCAGGTGCCATGGTAAAGAGAGGCATCGGGAGACTGCTGGACGCGGAAAGAAGATGAAGGAAGCAGGGTTGGAAAATGCAAAGACGGGCAGCTAGCACCCTTTTATACTGTCCGTGGTTCTACCTCACACGGCAGCATGTGAGACGGGAGTTTCCAATGGTCTTGGGGTACATATCAACGTTTGCGACCTAGGGACCCATGATGTAGTGTTCAGTTACCTACATGCTTCCAGTGTCTATTTTCGGCGCAGGGCCTTGGAAACTAGGCAATAGCTAGTACAGAAGGATTTCGAGCACTAGGGCAGACGCGAAACACATAGTCCGGTATCCTGGTGGGTGATAAGCCTTGCGAGATATCCATGCAAGTAATGAGCTATTGCTCCAGCGATGCAGGAACCGTTTCCGTCTGTCACCTGCGCGGACAGTGTGAGCACGCACGGAGTGGCTTAGCCTGTTTGCAGTGCCATAAAGCGACAGAGCACCCGGAAGCTCTGCTCTCGCATGCATATCAAACTAGCATTACTTCAAGGTACTAGTTCGCGGCGCGAGACTCCCTCAAAGGTAGTTATCTAGGGGAAGAGGCGCGGGGGAGGGGGGCTTGGCGGGATCGTGTTGCGGAAATGAGGGCATGATGTCTGGCCGCGTGGAGTAGAGCCACGCCATTCGCACCTCGAGTGCAAGCCTGGTCTTGCATGGGTCAGCTAACTAATGTCCACCGTGCTTTCCTTAACGCACCCCATTACTGTGGCTTGTAGGTGCTCGGTGGTAGTGTTGAGACATAGCACCCCTCCTCCCAGTGCAGCGTCGTACCGGCCTCCTGCCCCGAGAGCTGCAGCCTCTGGTCAGAATAAGCAGTCTTGCCGTTGCCTCGCCACCAACTGACCAATTTGGGCCTCTTTTCTTGACTTGATGAATTTCCCGTGCTTCGCGTGCTTCCCGTGTCTCTCGCGGAACATGCTTTATTCTTCCGCCTTATTCCATCAGGCGTCTATTGCAAACACTCATCATGGTGGCAATCAATTCTTTACTCAATGAGGATACTAGCAGCACGGCTGCCACGTCAGTATCAACATTACAACGTGGTGCGAAGGTTTCCGCCATGAAATGCATCAGATATGTCCTTGTGCCGGAGCTAATAGACTCCAGCCTCCAAATAACGACCCGAGGATTGACGCCCGTCCTCATCTACAGAACAACAAGATGGTTAGAGTACCTGTCATCTTCACCGCAGTACTGAAACGAGCACTGCGACAACGACGGCTCCTGAGGCGGCTGAAGATGAACGGCCTAATAGAAAAACGAGGCCAATCGCTGAATTTTATCGGTCAGTGGCAGTCAAGGGACTGGAGCAGCTTGAAGTCATAGAGTCTGTGGAAAGGCAGGAAGCTGCTGAGCAGCTGAACGCCCTTCGCCATGTCTGTCATCGAACCAGCGACGCTACTGCCAACAATTCTCCCCAACGCATCGCTTTGCCCGCTGCTACGCCGGCTTCACACCATGGATTCCGAAATTTGACTCATTCAGAGTCAATACCTATGCCAGATAGTGGTACGGGATCCGAGGGCGCTAGGATAAGACGTATACTTGGAAAGCCTAACATTCAATGTTCACACTACCACAGATGGAAAGGATATCGAGTTTAATTGGAAGGATCTATTCACGCAGCACCTTCGGCGCATGCACGTTCCTGTAAACCTCACCAAAGGGAACAATGATCAACAACAGTCAGAATCGAAGGGCAACTTTAAGGGCACGCAGAATTGCCTGGTGACGCGAGGGCTTCCAGCGCAGCAATCTAGCTGCCCGAAACCCGGCTGTGTGGATACTTTTGACGGCCCGACTGCCTGGGACGGATGGGCAACGCACGTCGGTCGGCACATGGAAAACGGCGAAGGCGATAATCTTGGCGTCGATGACTGACTTCTGCACTTGTCCTCAGCGAAGGCATTATTGAGAAGGTCCGCAAAGGGTACAAACTTTGTAAAAGGCAGTTGCAGGAAGGTGAACCATGATGGTTGCCGCAAGGAACGGGGATGAGGGACAAAGTGCAAGCGTGATAGACACCACATATAGCCTCACTTGGGCCTTAAGTGAGTAGCCGATAGAACAGAGAAGCGACTTAATTTCCCAAATGTCCTGCTAAGTATTCCCGCCAGAGTCATAATTTTTCAAAGTCGTAGAAGGACCTTGGCCATTTTTCTCTCTTTAAAAACACTATCTAGCCCAGTTGACATCCTCTATCTCTCCCCCCCCCCTCTATATATACCGAGTACGACGTCACAGGCAGGGCGGCGCAGTCGGTGCTCTCGCCTTTTATTATTCCGGCTGAGTAGACACGAGAGCCTTCAACACCACCATCGCCACTTGTACCCCTAGCATGGCTATCTGCCTCGCCGCATGAACAGTGCGACTTGGCGAAAAATCGAGACCATGTCTCGCCACTCGCAGTGATGCGGCGGAGCTGTATCAATGGTTCCTTTACTGTGGCGTGTGGATGGTATGGTGCTGCCTTAGCCGTGAAACTACGAAGACGATAATGCAAGAGACATCCGCAGCCTTCTGATGAATCAGCGTAAACTAGGCAGTTATAAATAAAGAAGGGTACCCTTGCTACAAAGACACTTCCTACGAGTAAGCAATATGAGTAGGAATTTCCCAGACACTCGAAGGGCGTACTACACGGGTAGTACGTCGAGGAGTGTGCCTAAAACACCTTCCCACATATGGCAAATGGTTTTCCGCACCCAATTCAATCCGTCCGTTCCCCATCAAGATGAACAGGTTCGATCGGAAGATATGGAGAAGGCGATTTTTTTGAGCCAACGGCTACTCACTATTGCGGCGAAGCTCCCTGTCTTTCGAAGGTGCTTGTCAATAAAGCCATGTATGCGGCCGCTCATTTCGCAATATCATCAAGCTGTTATGGTTACCGCTGCGTTTATCGCTGGCTTTCTACAAGAGAATAAAAATCTATCAGACTCTGCAACCATAACGAAAGTGCCACACATTCTTGAGGAAGCAGTTCGTCAAAAGGTCTTTGAAACAGTAAGTCACGGCTAAGCGACCTGTCATTACCAACTGACAAATGCAATCACAAGTTCCCGGGAAACCTGCGTTGTCAGGAGATGCTTTATGAGTTCAACGCAATGGTAGAGCATTGAAAGAAGTTTAATCAGCTTGAGGTCCCCGTAAATACCATCCATTGTCAACCTCCGAATGTTCACCGACCGTGGACTGTCGTTCCACAGCCGGGCTTTCGTCAACCGTCAGCTATTCCACAACCGTCAGCTGTTCAACAGCCAACAACTGTTCAACAACCCTACAACCTGTTGTGCAGTACACCGCGTGTTCAATCGCCCAAACCTGAAGGCCGATTGCCCAGTATCAAGATATCGGATCTCCTGGGCCCTCCCGATTCCATCGCGGGTTCACCTTTCAGTGTGAACTACGAGGCCGACTCTTCTAGAGAAACCGATCGGACTATGAAATACGGTGTGCGGGCTATGGGCTTGGCTCTTTTGAAGAGGCCCGTGATAGGCGGACTCCTGGTAGGAAAAAGATACGGTGCAATTATGGCAAAGAAACCCCACCTGAGGACGACAACCATAAGTCAATCTACGGCCGGCTTTGACAGTGTGCGCGTTGGAAGGGAAGGCCACGACGGGTTCAGTGGTGAGACTGGGGGACTATGAGGCGCCGTTGACGGCCTTCAAAAATTCATAGCGAGATTGTATATGGCGTATTGGCTGCGCGACAGAGGAGCTGCCATGAAAATAAGCTAGAGGAGTAGATATACTGAGCATACTATATAACGTATATCAGGTAACTATCTGGGAAGATATAAATGGATGGTGAAGTCAATGGTTATGTCAAACTCAACTGGCCTCGACTACCGCTGCAGCGTCGATGCCCTGCACACAGGCCTCTACCAGCAGTCTCTTAGCAGGAAGCAGTTTAGCCTATCGAATATCATCAAACCTGCCGCCGTCCCAGATCAGCGCATCTCTTCCATCACCAGTAGGAAGCTTCCGATCATGGTATCAGAATGATGTCACAACTCTCCTCCTGCCACAATTCGTGCATGATGTTCGGATGGACCACACGGAGCTGCCGAGCATGGTGAATCGTCTGTCGCCGAGCAATCTCAAGCGCACCGCTTCTGCGGTGCTGTCGAGCCAGCGCTCTGGGCGGAACTCGCTGGCGTCGGCGCCCCAGACCTTTTCAGGGTCGAGGCGAGCCGGTCCAGCCAGTAGTTGGGTGGTACATTTACTCACAGCGAGTGACCTTGTAGCCTGTTCAAGCTCTCGTCTCCGGTGCTAAGTGTGGCAGCACCCTCCTCGGAGCACACCTCTCCAACAAAGTGGCACCAGCCAACTTCAACACCCTGTTGCAGGACTTCCACCGGCAACAGAAACGACGGCTCCGTGCGGCGCACACGCATACACGATGTTTCTCACTCGCTTCCCTCACCCAGAAACATGCTACAAGTGAGGCGGTGGTGGGGCATGGCAGGCACATTATCGCCTGTCACCCGGGATCGTTTTGCTCCCTGCGCTGTGTATTGAGTGGCGTGGTCAGGATCCTGCAGGGGCGTCACGACCAGCTGGGACATTATAAGTCGACAAACGAGGACAAACGAGCAGAAGACAAAGACAACAACATCCACTCATGGTCACTTCACCGCGACCTACAGGCGGCTGGGCTCCCTTAATATAGAGAAACGCAGTTGTATAGCCAGTCTAGGCCGAAACAGCAACCGTGGGCGTTTTGGCAGGCAAGCACAGCGCGCCTTAGTCCTATTCAGGCGTCGAAGCAAATGATGGATTTAACATACTTTCCAAAGTCATCCCACCAGCAGTATTGGTACGTCGCTTGGAAGCACTGAAATGGTCTGCTTTCTTCTTGGCCTTAGTCTGCGGACGCTTCCCCGCAGCTGTGGCAGGCTCCTCTGGCCCAGTAGTGCTTGGTAGACTTGGCTAAATAAGCCTCTTCGCTGCTCTTCAGTCTTGTTGCATTCTAGAGGTATTCCTTATGAGATTTTTCCCGTCTATAGGTCGTGGATTCGTTGCTCCTGTGAGTTTCTCTCCCCTCTCTAGTTCGTGGATCCGTTGCTCTGCCTCACGGAATCGTCGCTCGGGTTCCGCCATGTCCCTGTTTTGATGTTGCTCTGTATTTCTTTCGCGTTACAGTACCGGTACCGTTATTTTGCCAATTTAAGGTGCAAACTGGGGGTGTACGGCGACATGGCACCATTATGCAAGGGCAAGCGTTCCCAACATGCTCGCTGTCCACTCCGCGTTCTTGCCTGAGTGACTGAACATCCAGCTATATTATCCATTTCAAAATATTGCGTGTTCACCTCAGCCATCACATGGACTCGTGCATGCGAAAGGAATACTTCTGCATATTCCTTTGTTTTGTTGTTGAGATTCTCCAGAGTAGGGGATGGGGTGGGAGGAGCACGTAGGTACGTGCTGTTGTGGTGAAGTGCTCCCATGCTTGTTCTGCTCTCTGCGGGGGGGAAACTCCCCAATCCCACTCCGAAACAGCCTTCTTCTTCTTACTCTTGTTCAGCTTTTTGACCCCCAAAAATTCGTAATCCGGAATGTTCTCTTCTGCGGGCGGCACCTCGACAGCAGGAGAGGCGTCGCTTCCCTCAACTGGTTCCTCGGTCGCCGGTGGCGTCGGTGAAGCGGGTGGCTCGAAGGGGGCGGCACCATCATAGTCCGTATAAACATACTGGCCAAATCAGATAAAAGTATCCTCGGAGACATCTTCCCAAACCGTACAGCCATTAACCGCCTCCTTCATCTGCCCATATACGAGAGTATCGAGCGTTGGAGACTGGGAGGCAAGCAGCGAAGTATGGATGTAAAATTCCTGCTTTTTTGGCCCAACAAGAAAGCGAAAGGGCTTGGTAACCAGGATTCTGTTTGCTTGATACATTAGCTCTCGGCTAAAGCACTGACGCTGTTACCATCTCGTAAACTTACGTGCTATATGGGATCTGTGCCATGATGTAGCGCAGGATGGTTTTCAGTAGAGCACCGCGTCTTTGACGACTGAGAAGCAGAAGCGACGGAGGGGAACGAAAAGGTCCGAAAAAGGAGTGACGTGGCAGAGTGATTCAGCGGACCGTCTTGTAGCCGATCGCATGCATGTTTGTGATTGCCCCGCGCAGCCACGCATGGGACTGGATTCTGTCGGGCTCGTGGTTGTGCCGATCATGGGAATACTTCCACACATCTCCGTATCGGTAACGTCTCTGTGGTCTTTGGCGTCTCCGGCTCGACAAAGGAAAGCAATACCAGATGTGTCCATGATGAGACCCCTCGCGGACAAGAGGATGATTGGTGACATGTATCAAGAGCGAAGCTACCCAACGGCCGCAAAAACCATAATCAGCCCCCGTGCTGATATTCGCAATCATCAATTACTGCCTGCCTGGACTACCGAGTCACAAGAGGCCACAGTCGTTTGTATGGCACCCTCTGGGCGCCGAAATACGTAGCATGTTGCGTACCAGGCAATTATTGAATGATTGGCTGGAATTCGACCAGTCCCAAATGACTGACTGATCAAATGAACGAGCCGTGTCGCATGGGGCCACCAGTCGTCAATGCCAGTTGGTGGCCTACCACTAGTTCAAGCAAGGCTCGCGAAGTATCTCCCAATACTTATTAGCCCGCACCATTCGATGACCTTGCACCAATATATCTAAAGATTAGAACCCAGTATGCGTCGGCTTTTCTTTGGTTCATAGAGCTCTTCGCGATAGGCCTCTGTTTTTTCTTAAAATTGCTCGGCAACATTAGCTTGCAGGGTTATTACGCCGCCGCCGGTGTTGGTTTTGTATTCTGGGCACTTTTTAGCTTTTTGGCTTATCGAATTCGTAGCAAACTTGCAGACAAACTCGACGCGCGTAGAGCCGCAGACATGCAAGTTAGATGATGAAGCTGCACTATTCTTAACTGAAGACCTCATCTGAGTGGTGTCTTTCAAGTGCGCTAGGTTGTCGTGACTAATTTACAAGTCCGAATCTGGGCGTTATCGGCAAGCTGTTCGTGTAGGCCCGGAAAAACTGATGGCCGCAACATTGGAGCTGCCTTTCACGAATCCTAACTGTGGCCTTATATCAAACCACGAGCCGCCTCTTTTCTTTTCCCTTTTCTCTTTGCTCTTCATCATATCATGACATCAGCGAAGCAAATCAAGAAAGCACACAACCAATTACGCAAGGACGAGACTGTGCCAGCAAGCTCTCCCAATCACCGGTAGTGTCGGCTCGGCGCACAAGCCGCAAGACTCCGAACCGTAAGACTGTATGCCGCAAGACATGCAGCAAGACTACCAGCGGCAGGACTACAAGCCGGACGCTGGGGCTTGTGCGACAGAATCGCAGGATGTGGAGCCTCAGATTGGCAGCCGCTGGCAGAAGGTCAGTAAAGCGAATGCATCGATACCGGAACCCGCCTAACATCGCGCAGCGCTCAAGATGTTTGTCAGCAAATTAATGAGAGCACACTGAGCTTCAATCTTTTAGCCTGTGCGTTCAAATGGTTAAGTCAATCTTGAATATATCTTGTGAATCATTGAGACCTATTCGAAGACACGCCGGCAGCTGGATGGCTTTGTGTGACAAACCGGGCTTGCGTAGCAGACGAAGCCAAACTATCATATGATGGTATGTCTTGCAATAATCCCCCCGGAGTTCTGGTAGCCACATCCGTCAGCATTGGTCAACACGGGTCTGACTGAGGCTGTAAAAGCGGTGTTTGGCACTCGGGAAGAGGCTTGACGGGGATATCTTTGCCGTGGAATCAGGTATTTGAGGGCGACTTCGGCTGAAGGACGTAGATGTAACTCAAAATTAAAATCATGAAGACGCAGGATAGGTTCATCAATAAGAATGTCCTTAAAAGCCGCAAGTCAGCCAACGCAGTTACGTTCATAACCAGAAAACGTTTCTCTGGTGTAGCCTTTGGTAAAATTTGGACGACTATCATTGAAGACAACATAGATGCGCTCTAACGCGGTCATTTCTCCTGTAAATTTGACCCAGTCGATGCCGTCGATATTGACGTAGCGCGAGCCTCGAGATTCGTCTCCGAAGTAGGGGTAGTCCTGGTAGTTGATTGTGAGGTTCTTTAAGGAACTCCCGTGAAAGTCCCTAATGGCTGCCAATGTCTCTGCTGTAGGGGGAATGTGATACTCTGGTCGACCTGCCAAGCTCTGGAATGGAGTTGTCACGTCGTGTGCTTCCCAGCGAAATTCGTTCAGTGCATTCATTCTGGCAAAGCACCGCCGAGCAATAGGCCATTCTATTGGATCCATATCGTCGGGATCATAAGGCCACCTGATGTTTAAGAAATGCAGACAGGTGAGCGATGGTAACTGCTGCGCGGACAGTGCTTCCGCCATTTGATGAGGAAGAAGCACAATGGTGCTGGTAAGTGTCAGTCTGCTCAACGCTGGAAACGCCGGTACATCCCGTGGTATCGTAAACGGAATATCCTGGAAATGGTCTCTTGGGATATCTTTGACGTAGTCGGGGTTTGTTAAGAGTTTGTAGCAGTCGGCAACGGTAGCCCACTGACGAAAGGGCGGTGCTGCTGGGTACCATTCAAAATCGAACAAACTCAAATCACAGTACCAGAGGAGTTCTTCAAGCTCTTGGAAACGATGCAAAGCCTGTATAAGCGACGACAAAGGCACACCAAAGTCCAAGTAAGTTTCATCCGCCGTGAAATTCATTTCTAGCCGCCGCAAGCCCGCTGGAAGCTGGGAGAGGATGACCGCAACGTCGGTGAGAGCTGCGAGACTCCCCAAGTCACTGCCATTTCCCCAGATTCCGTAGTACTTTTCAGCCGAAAAATGAAACTCGAGATTTTTCAGTCGAGACAAGAAGCCATTTCGGCGAAAATCAGCGACAAGCAGCTGGAGGCCTGCAGTTTCGTGAATCTCAAAGTTGGCTCGTTGTAGCATCTGGTCAAAGGTGCATTCCCTGAGTCTTCTGCAGGTATGTAGCAACCACCAAAAGTTCTTATAGTTTCCATATTTGCGACATCGGAAGTCCATATATAGGATACCGCGACGATAACGAAACGGCAGGCGCGTGTCATTAAGTCCAAGTGCAAGGACAATTATGTCACCAAGAATTTCGTTGGACAGGTTAAGCAGGGACTGCATATTCAAAGCGGCTTCAACTATTCAAAGCGTGATGGATGAGACGAAGCTGTTCCCAAGCGGACGAAGAAGTTGATGGAAAAGCGAAAATGAAATGGGTTTTGCTGCCTAGACAGTACGTACTTCTCCTGCTATGCCCCCACTTTTTCGTGTCGTTCCGTACGTCATATCCTGCCCTGGAAAGAGAGCAGCACCAACATTCATGAATCATTATTACTGGAATCCCTCAAAAGAAATTCCCAGGCTTCAATGCAAGTAAAAAGAGGACGAAAAAAACCAGAAAAAAAAAAGAAAAAACCGACTCAGAACATCAAAATTGATGCTCTTTCGTGGGTATCAATCCCCCTAACGCTTTTTTTATCATGTCCTGCTCGCGGCCCTCCTCGTTGGCGTGCTCACAGGCTTCGTGGCTGGCGTAGCTGCCGGCCTGGTTCGCATCGTCGTTGTGGCTGTTTTGGAAATGGTTTTCGGTGTCGTCTTGCTGAGTAGCGCCTTGCCCGACGTAGCACTGAAATCCCGCTTCGCGACGGTTGGCACCAGCCTCTTTGACGGTACCGCAGTCGCTTGCACAATACTTCTGCGCGTCCCTTCCCTCCTCTCCCGAATCTTTGCTAGTGCATCCTCGCGTGTCATCAATGAAGATAGGCAAGAGGCGCGTGGTTCCACGCGAAACGGACATTGTATGCGAGTATTCGCGGTATTGCTTATTCCAGACTAAGCGACCGTGTCAGGAGTGTCATCTACTTTCGCGATGCTCTCCCGGCTTCGGCCTACACTACTCCCCCGATCGTTCTGGATAGCCCTACGCGCGATGGCAGTCAGCTATGCCATCCTGTGGATCATATCATTTCAACTTTGATTAAAGTGAGACCTTTCTACAGGGCTTACTTCGTTGTAAAGAATATCTTTTTTTCCTTACCCCTGTCGGCTGTTGTCTCGGCTGCCGTCGACCCCCGCCACAGTCAGCTTCAACCACGGGCCCTTCAAGCATTGCCCATAAGAAATTTGAAAAGAGGACGTATTGAAATTTTTCCATATATGGTTTTTTCTCTGTTTGCAAGTTACCTTGTCTGAAATTGAAATCTATTATCCCGCGTTTTCTTTATTTTCGTTTAGACGTCGTTTTCTTGTTACGGCCAACTATGCTACTGTTTATAGGCAAAATAGGATGGTTTTTCAATTTTTCGCCACTCTTCCTATTTTATTGCACTATTTTTTTTTTTTTACCAAATACAGCGCGTATTATAACAAGTTGTACGCACGGAGTATGCAAAAGCACCGCTTTGCTTTGCTTTTCATTTAACGTCTATGGTGTAGCTCCAGTGTAAGCAAAGAGACGTGCTAGCTAAAACTCTACGGATAAACGTGCCGCGGTTTCGGTTAGCGTGACGGGGCATGTCCGGGGGCCTGCCCACGTTCTCACCAGGGGTTCACCGTGCCAGCTTCTTGACCTAAACATCCTCCTATAGCAGCAGCTGCGCGCCAATCGAGATAGAACTGCTTCTTCTTCTCAATTGGCAGTTTTTGCTGCAGGTGGCTTCCGTCAGCAGAGAGTCACCTGTGCTGTTTTACAGCTTTGTTTTTGTGCCCCGGGGGGCGTATGCAAATGCATCGCTCTGCATGCCGTTCAACAGGATCTCTGCTCCCCCGTGCTCCTTTGCCTCCATTTGAAGCACCAGCGCCGTATCGTCTCGCTAATATCCGCCGAGAGTCGCTGCAACGCCTCTTTCCCACCAAGCGTCTGGTGGCTCGCAACCCACCCGTTCGCTCGGATGGCCTGCTGTATAGACTGCTCCATCGTTCTCAGGCCCCTTTCTTTCTCGTCGACGCTCTCATGAGCTGCGCTGGCCTTGCATGGAAGCGGCGAATCGTGTTCGAATACGTACTCGGCCGCGGAGAGGACCGCGGCCCACGCCTTGTACGCGAATCGAGCGCCGTACCCGTCTTCGTCTTCTGGGAGGCGCTTTTCCAGCGTCGACGTACCTTCTTCACTCGTGAAGAAATGCCATGTTGTCCCGTACGGCCTCGATGACCGACCTCTCGAGGAATCGGCAATCGTCTTCAGCCGCGTTTTGGAGATTCGCTGCCGCAATGCTCTTCCGCCGCGAGCGCTTCAAACAAGCCGGCATGAAGTCGTCACGGAGCTGCGGCTTGTTATTTTCTTGCCGGTTGAGTATCACGGTGGACTCGTCGTTGAGCCAATCCACCATGTGTCCAACGATCTCTGCTATGATTTTGCCCTCCGCCTTGCTCGTCATGAACAGAGACGCAATGTCAGGCATTTCGAGTGATGAATCGACGATAAAGTGCTCGGCAATTTCTTGATACAAGTCGTCCGAGATACACTCCAAGAAGCCTGTCCGCCGCGTCCCGACTACGCTTTTGTTTTGCGGCGTAAAGAGCAGGTCTTCTCGAACTTGCTTTTCCGACCCAAGATAGGCCTCCGCCACCAGGAGCTCCCAGTCGTCCGCGCTGACCAGCTTGGCTTTGATTTTGATTTTTGATTTTGATTATTTACGTCTGTTGGCGCCCTAGAGTAGGCTTTTAGACGTGCTATCGAGCCTTCTACGGATAAACGTGCAGGCGTACCCGCTTAGTAGGCCCCCACAGGGCGGCGCGCGCCCATGTTCTCACTAGTTGCCCCTGGAATACTCTCCCTGCCATCATCCTCCAACTGTAGCAGCGTCGCGCCCAATGGCATGTATCTGTCTAAATCGATGCCCGTCAGCGGGATCACGATGATGTTGATGTGATGCGCTCGCGGCGGTCACCGCGTTCGTGTTACGCCAACAACTTTTGTCTCCTGGTCTTTATACGGGGACCAGCGGGAGCCCTGCTGTCGGTGGCGTATATCGCCCAAAACAAGGGAAATGATGAGGGTTCAACGAGTAGCGCACACTACTCGGGCTGGATACTGTACAGAGCGCACCAGGCTTGTACCCTACGTGGTGCTATGTGCGCTTGTTGATCTTCGAATAGTAGAAGTCAGCAATGCGCACGTACACCTTGTAGGATCTACCGAGAAATTTCCCTATTGCCGTCTCTGGGTCGGGTGTGAGCCGAACCCGGAGATGGCCAGGGATCTTTCTGCAGGATGGGTGGGCGATTTCTGGCGCCCGCAAGGGCACTCCAGCGTCGCCTTTCCTGGGTGGAATCTCTCATGGTATTCCGCAAAGTCGCCGTGTTGTGATCGTGTTGTCAGAAGATAGCCGAGCAAGCGGCGGGGGAGACTGAGTTCCGGGAGCTTCTTAAGCTCGGCACTGAGTCCAAGCTTGAGGTACTCCGTTCTCTCAACCGATGCCCACCAGGCTCGGTGGTCTACTGCTATTTGCTTCTTCATCTGTCTTTTTCTATACGCTGACCAGCTTGGCTACTCGCCCTGGCAAGCCCTCAAGGGTATGAAGGGTGTCTTCGAGATAGGCTTTCCAGTACTGCTCTCACCCGATTAGTATTGTCATTGTTGTTCACCCTGCGTTGATAGAAAAACACGTACACCGTCGATGCGCAGGCTTGCCATCCACTCAAATGTCGACAGGTTGAAGTGGGCTGCCTCCACGGCCGTTTCGCTCCATCGCGTCAGGATGGTTCGCCACTGGTCGTTCCTCCACAGCGTGATGAGGCGGGCCCACAGGAAGCTTTTCGATGCTCAGTTGCAGTATCGCTGTGAGCCGCTGCTCGACGGTCTTTTTGTTCCCACGAAACAGAGTCGTGTTGCGCTTCCGGGCAAGGGTATCGGCCAGCACCAGCTGGCCCCAGATTTGGGCGTGGCCATCGCACAGCGTTGTGCCCGGGCGCGTCACGCGTAGCTGAACGTCCTGGTCCAACAGCAGCGTTTCTGTATCGTGGTTAGGAGCTAGCAACCGACCGAGGTACAAGACAGCAGAGACTGCGCTGCCAGGAGGTACAAGGCTGGCGCCCTGGCGGCCCGGGGCACGCGTGGCGGCAGGTCCCTAGCACCTGAGTCGTGAAGCTTTTGGCCTAATTCGAAGTGTGCCGGGCTAAACGCGTGATGCATGTAGCTTCTGGATGGTCTAAGACAAGACCTAACGGCGCATCCCCCATGGGCACATCCACATATTCGGCGCAGAGATGGCCGGAGTTATAATGGAAGAAACGGGGGAATGTGTTGTAATGGATATATGAAGAGACACTGCATTGAGCGGGCTAAATAGATAAGGAGTGGCTTCAAGTAGGGCGGCAGAAGGGATGATCGAACCTAATACGTACTATTCGTGATAAGTGTTGTAGACACTAAAACCGGCCCTTCCCGCCAATTCGCCCTGCCCTAGTGGTTCTCGTGTCCGTTGCTGCACCTGTTGAAATTGACCACTCGTACCTTTCCCTCCCATTGCCACACGTTTACACTCGCTGTCCACTGATTCCTGCAACCCTATAGTCTCACTTTGGTCGACTGATAATCAGCTTTTGGCTCATCTGCTGCCTTGCTCTGTAAACGAACTTTTGCTCGCTACGGGACCTTCGAACATGCACAGCACGCCGCCTTTGGAATCAGTCAGGCATTCGGATATAGGGTATTTGCGTTTCCGGGTTCTAGGGGGGGGGGGGGGGGTGCGAGGTTGCGTCGAGGGCGCCGAGATGGAGCGTGATACTCTTGCATTGAGCTGTTGCCTGACTCATTACCTGAGCGACTGGGGAAAAGAGTAGGCGCGGTTGTGGAGGACGGCACATACTTAATGCATTCGACGAGGGCTCCCAGCGGGCTCATCGATGATCAATACAGCGGCATAGCCGGGAGCCGGCGAGGCCGGTGATACAAAGGGCGGCGAGGAATGCGCAGCGATAAGTCAGACATAGAGGCTGTGGAGGTTCTCGATATCAAAAACTCGGGTATTACGTGATAGACAGAACCTTCTAGTTTGCATGCTCAATGTGCTCAAAAACAAACTTTGGCTTTTTTTATACCGCTCTGCAAAGGTCGCTTCATTCAGCGCATCACATTGTCGTTCGTAATTGAAAAGCCTTCCAAAGTACCCCTGTAACCACCTTCCGAAGGGCTACAATTGAGCCATCACATTGCACTGTGAGCGATCAGTGCGGCTCTGATGTCATTTTTGAGCGCTTTGCTTTACCCGCGTGCGCATCTGTAGTCGCGGCCGGGGAAGAGAGCCTGCACTGACCGTCGTCGAATTCTAAGGGCAGCAGCGGCAGCTCCCACCAAGGGGTTGAGTATCCGAAGATAAATGTATTGCCACATATTGTGCAGCTAAAACGGCCGCGGGGAGCTGGTAGGCCTAAACAACTGCCGCTCTGGTGCAAGTCAACACCGCCAAGCAAGTGGCAAAGGCCGGACTTTCGCGTCGAAGCCGTTCAGCAACTCATTCGGGACCTTGCCACGAGCGACAAAACGATGGCCTTATCTTTGGCTTGTCTGGCTGTACAAGTGTGGTACTTGTGACCGGTAGCAGTAGTGCTCCATACACCGGCAGGGCAAGCGCTCTGTTAGAATGTGGTTCTGCTCGAGGAGCTCTGCTCAGAAACAAAGTTTATCAATTTCGTGACCGGCGTTCTACCAGGTTGGTGGGACGGCGATGCGGATGGCAGACCAAATGAGCCCTATGTCTCCCCAGCACGATGGGATGTGGAACTGGAAAACGCAAAATTCAACGGCGTGGATAATATGGCATTTGATGCTTTGCCGCCATACCATGTCAACACATC